CAAAAGACCTTAGATTTGGCAATTCTGACGACATGAAGTTTGGTAGCTCTCTGTTGTACGGTTACCTTTTTTCGAAATGAAAACAGCTAGTTCTTTTTCTAACCAAGTTTTTATATCATCAGAGAGTGACTTTTGTATTCTACAACTCTGAAATTAAATAGGATCTTCAAAACTGATATCTATTAACAACTCATAATGGACAACACTCTCCAAGTGACAAATGGTGCCGTTCAATAAATAAGATAATTTCAGATTGCGTTGAAGTATTCAACCCAGACTCAATTGATGCGAGGCCTCTGTCACGATCCGAAATAAAGATCAGCTTAACAGAATCGAGTGGACCACTTTGGGCACTTTCGGAGACTTATGGCTATAGACCACGAGCATATTTCTGTGTGGTCATCTCATATTTGAACCTCTAAATACTTTAGATAACGTTTGAAGTTTGTTCACAAATATAACCTCCGAATCCGTAAGCAGTAGCCATGAAAATCGAAATGGACTAAAGGTGTGGACAAGTGGCTTTTAGAGAGACTTTCTTCAAAAGTTTCGCGAAACCGAATATGGACATTATTCTTCGCATCGTCGAATATTCTTTATCTCTTTGTGCATGTAATATGTTTATTGAGTTACTCGTACATTGTTCTGTATGTACCGCCTGTGCCACTTTAATTGTCCAGGACCATAGTTCCCATGGAGTGATGGTATGCCCTTGGCCATTCTGCACCTTTAGCAATATTCTGAAACTCGCTGCGGGCACTTAACAATCACATGCTACACTGATCCCGTAGCAAACCGGAACTATTCAAATTCGTCATGCGAAGGTCAAATCATTCCATAACTTCTTTTAAAAACATTCTACAACTGTATACCAAGGCCATTCATTTGTGAACTCATTCCTTCCCATCTGATCATACTCTCCACTTAGTCCGGACACCTTTTCATTAGGCTATAGCAGTTCCTTTTATGCGTTTTCATCTCAAATAATTAACACCATTTCATGTTGATTCCGTTGTTGAGTTGTTCATATGTACATATCGACTAAAGTCTAATTACTGAAATTTCAAATTTTTGCTCTGGCGTCAAAATCCCGCGTGGTAAGCTACAGTGAGACAAGCATTTTCCACTAAACTAACCGACATTTTGCCAAGGAAACCAGAACAGTTGTTGCCAGAGGGTACTCGGGTCTTCACTACAGGTAATCATCGGCTTTTTTGAAAATATCCTGCTTTACGACTAGATGGTAGCTTGCAGACAGTAGCGATGTGAGCAGAGAGGGTTACCTAGTGAAATGTGAAAACGGACGGAATGCTCCGGTAATTTTCTTATCAGTATTATAGATAAGATACTTTATAGCAAAAAAAAAATGGACACCCACATATTGTTCGGCAGTCTTAAACTCCGATTCGCTTGAAAACTCTGCTGATAAAGATTTCTCTGTCTCTTTAAGGTCATCCTCGTTTGATGACTCGTCCTCGCCTGCTAACGGCGATGAAACGCATTCTTCGGTGTCTCCAAGCTCCGTCGTACTTGATGACGTTGATGAATCCATGACAACTGCTAATTCAGCAATTAACTAAATCATAAGCAGTAATGCATATATTACAAAAATATGACATGGTTAACAGAGGAAGGAAATACTTCGAAACCATGATTTATCTCAAGTGAAGGCCATATGTAACGTGGCGCACCTAAAGATGGTGAGGAATTAAGTGCAGACTAAAATAACTCGCTTAGTTCTTATTTTTCTCCAATGTTCTGCACTTCCTCCTATAATGATGACGAAGTCGAATTCCAGACCACCGTAACAATTGATTGAATTAGGTATATAGGGTTGTATACGTACGAATTTTTATCGAAGTGTGCACGATATCAGTAAAATGGCAGCGTTAAAGCTATTGGTAAGTGCATAACGAAAATAGCAAAGAACATGCCAAACAAACTACTTCCACATCGACGCAAGGGAACCACAGCTAGCTACCCATGAATTTTCCAGCTTAGCACCCAGTTTCTAAAAAGAACCCGAGACTAATCTGTGGATTATCTGCAGAGAAAAGTACAAGCAGCCATTCGACATTGAAACAACTTCAGATATAGTCGCTAATAGAAAGATATCGACGAGAATATTCGGAATGGCTATGCTGATAACCTGTAGAATCAATGCACAAACGTTACTACCAGAAGACGCTCATATCCTCGTTGGTGAGAACAGAGAAAAAACTAAAGAGGCCGGAAATAGCAAGTACGAAGCTTGTCGGGACGTCAGCAATTGAATAAACAAGATAACAGCTCTTTGTATTTGACCTCCAAATACATAAAATACGACACGAATGAAGAATGGCAGAATACAAAAGCCAACTTCGAATACTGCACTGATCTTCTTATAGACCATATCTAGCTGCTTCCATACATAAGAGAGGTTCAGCATCCGAAATCCAACATACTTTCTCGGCATGGCAAAATCTCAATTTTGTGTAGATTAGTTGAAAACAAGGAGCCCACACGGTTATACCAAGAGTTTCCCGTGTCGAAGACAGATGGAATCGGGAATTCTGATTTCTGCTAACAATAAAAGACCACAGATGTCAGTGCAATTGTTGAGCTGTGTAAGATTAGATGAGCCGAACGCCTAATGCTTCTGACGATCAACGTTGGACATGACCCTTTAAAAAATTGCATCATGGAACCTCAAAGGCAGAATGGAAACACGAGCAAACTGACGGTTAGAAATCACTATGAAGAAGCTAAACGGAATAATACGATGCGTATAGCACCATTCGACCTAGCGTAACCAGTTGTGAAACATGTGACAGAGATAAAGCTAAATATCGCTTGCGCTAGTCGTTCAACAACACAGGGAGATATGAACCACTGCAAAGACTATAAGTTTCAGCCAATCTTCGTCCATCATATCTGTAATGGCATCTCAAAGTCGTCAACTGAGTGAAGCTAGTACCAGCAAACTCTACATTCGTAAGTGTAGCGCGAAAACGCTGCACAATTGGGTTCGTTAACTCGAAGGATACAAAAGCATTACAAAAGCGTCCTTGGAGCACTACCTGAAACAACCAAACATTATCCTACGCAAAGTGACACATTCACGTGCTCCTATTGTGGAAGAAAAAAGAAACTCCCCACTTTACAACTCAAAAAATGGCAATAAAAAGCTGCTATACAAAGCACATTTATGGGAGGTTTAAACTTGCTGCACAAGAGAAATTTATTTCTAGTTTTATTGCAAAAAAAGAAGAAGAGCATTCAATATATACAGGTCAGAAGAGAAAAATTTAAGCTCTTTGTTGTAAGCACGTGTCAAATACCAGTCGATTATCGTTTCATCTACGATGGTCAACAAATTCTAGCCAAAAAGTCCTCAGTAGAAGTAAAAGGTAAGCATATGCAAGAATGACCCGAACTAAATAAGGGATCAACTAGAATACATAAAAAGTAGTCTTGAAGCTACAAAAGTGTTTTTACAAAAAAAATGAGCACGAAAACAATAAATCAAGCCATTACAAAAAAAAAAAACTAGGAAAAGAGATGAAACAAGTTACTACAATATTCGAATAATCGATAGGTCAAGACAAGAAAAAAGATGAAAAAAACGAAACATGCATTGTCTAAAAATACTGAAGAATATTTAAGAAGAAAAAAAGAACTATTACAGCGACTTTCCGTTATAACAACGAGTAACTAGAAACTATTCTTCATCTTCAAATAACTGTTGCCGCAAAGCCGCACGCTTTCTTCGCCTTTCGCACCTCAACAAGTAGAACTTTATTAGAGCAAACCAATTTTGTAGAAATAAGCTTCTCTCTGAATCAAAAATGAATTAATAGAACGAAGTGAAGGACCTACTTGAACTTATTCCAAAAGCACCAACAGAAGTCTTAACAGGGAAGACTTCAATAACAACAGATGATGACTCTTGTACCACTAAGAAACTATCTCAAGCAACAACAAAAAGGTTTAGAAATATATCAACCTACCTTGTACAAAAGTAATTGTGTTTCTCAAAACATTTCGCATGGAAGACAGCAAAGCATTTTTGGCACATGGAGACATCTTTTGAGAACGGGAAAATAATCTGAAAAAAGGAATAAAATCTGGAAGATAACAAACGCATACAGAATAATTTAATGGAAGGTGAAAAAACGACACATGATTACACCTTTGTATGGCACTATAATGAAATCTAGTCCACCTAAAACAGAGCGAACAGCGTAGTAGCAGTGATGCCGTTTATTACACGGACGGAGCCCGCCGATGATTCCACCTCGCATCTGGCTTACCAAGACTCACCCCTCCAGAATCAGCAAACTGGTGCACAAGTTGTACGGGTCGCTCACTCTCGTTCACGTGGAAGTACCCTAGGATGATAAACTCAGTATTCCAGGGAAAATAAATCGACCAGCATTCAGCGACATTCACAATGAAGACGAAAAAACCCTCAAGCAGCCCGACGCACAGAAGTTCGAAAACCTTCGTGGATGATGGATGTGAAGAAACGAGCGAAAGGCATGAGACGCTGTTATCCGCACTGTGGGATAGAAGTGGTAATGAGTCATTGAAGAAATCTATGATTTCAGATCACCAGATCTAGTTTCGAACGACACAATGATAAATATATTAATATTTCGTTGGTAAACTCATAAAACGACAATCGCTTAGAGAAACTAAGATGAAACGTAAAACACTATCACCAGGGCTAGTGGGAGTCCATTCCTCAGTTCGTATTTTCACCACCCACTATTTTTCATCCTCAACATAGATTGTCGATATCCTTGTTTATTAATAACTTTAGAGGAGCTTATCCTTCCACAGAGCCGCGCTAATTGGGTAGTTCTTGAGTTTAGAGACTTTATAGTCGAATCGATAGGAATTTACAATGTCTTTTTCTATTCAGTGACTACCTATAGAATGCACCGCTGCGAAATAAACGGTAGGAAAATAGGAAAAATATTCACATTATTTAATTGCTATGAAGTAGGCAGCTCATTCTACCTAACACATGATGTTGTCATTGCTGCGAATTTCTTCACAGATTTTTGCCAATAACTTTTACACAGCTGGCAGTTAAGCGACCTTGAAAGCAATTGCACAGAATGAGCCAAACTATCTGATCAAGTTCAAAAACTGGACACGAACGACAGCTGAACAATACACGTGTCAGTGACAATTAGGCATTCATAAACTAAATGTTTCTTTGTTTGTAAAGTAAATGTCAACAGCTGAGTTCAAGAAGGGTGAATTCTAGTTGTTTTCACAGTTCACAGTTTTCAGAAAAACAGAACGAGAAACGATGTTTGGAGTTGGTTGGGAAACATGTCAAAATATTGTCAGCGGAAACCTTCTGGATAGCTTACATACGTTACTCTAAAACTAGCGAAATTTAAAAACTATTCGTATATGTGGCTACGAGCCAAGAAGGATAAGAGGTAGAAAAAAATAAAACAATTTTAAAAAAACAAGTTGGATAAATAAAATATATAGATACAAAACATGACACCCCCCCCCCTCCAACGGTTTACAGCCTCATCGTGGCTTGGAGGTGTTGGTGCATGTCGGGCCATGATAAATCGAGGGAGGATTCATCCTCCTAGCGAGGCCTCCCAAACTGAGGAGTACGGGGTTCCCATCAATAAGCTTAGCTAAGAATAAACCAATACCATGATTCACCACCATCCTAGTATTAAACTAGTCTCATGATGGCAAATCCCTTCGATCCACAAGGGCGGCGACTTCCTGTGGTGGTCATGATCTGGACAGACTATGGCTAGGATGACCTTGGGATCCAGGAAACACAGTGGCTAAACCAGCAAAATTTCGAAAAACAGAGAATATGTAGGGTCCGCACGACCAGTGGGACGGGCCGTTCAAATGTCTAGGTAGGTAAAACATGACACAAAGATATAGAGTAGATGAAAGATACTCTCGCGATGGCCGCTCCGTATAGTCGGATTTCTACAAGAACCGACAACATTAATTCACCAGAATGATTCTACATTATGGAGGACGTCAGAAATATAGCAAACCTGATCACGTCCCTCAGTGCCCTCACACAACTCGCAATAGAACCCATTTCCTGTGCAAATCTCACATTCCTGCAAAAATCAGTTTTGCACAGCAAATCGAGAAAAAAAATGCAAAGATCATTTGAGTATATAGGAAACCCACGTCTTCAATATGGCGACGAAATACAGTATGTATGTCTTCAAGATCTTCTAACAGACCACCTATACAGAGTTCTCTCAGCTGAAAACATCGGTATACTTCAAAAGACAAAAGATTAAAACAAAGCATCTTACATCTGCCAGCGAATACATATCAGCTCCTTCGACAAAGTGTTGATGACGATTGAGATATTGCAAAATACGTAGTTTTGCTGCATTCTATAAATGATATAACAGAATGCACCATGTAAGTTTCAGAACAAAAAAAACAATACCCGACAGCTGATGAAATAGCACTTCATGAACAAGAAGTCTTGTCGTAGTCGTTGCAGTCGTTGTAATTTCTGCAACAAACATATTTTAAAGATTTTAAAAACATCGGTTACAAAACAAGCTTAACAATCATTCAACGAATAACCTTGTGATGCTTGAAAAGCAACGGGTTTGCTTGAGACATGTCGATTAGTGGACGAGGATCGACAATTGCTAGAAGCTGTTTGGCAGCACGGCACACCGGACGAGGGATTGCGTCCATGTTGTGGAATATCCTAAAACATAACCACAATGACGCTGGGGTGTTTGCATAACAGTGACTCTAGACCAAGAAAAAAAAATAGGCGGCAAATAAAAGTTCAAAATTGTGACTCCAACTGCAGCCTCAGCTTGATTGAGTTCAATGCCGATTTCTGTTCACTTCCGTTGATCGTTGTTTGATGATAGCACCGGTAGCATAAAAACTGGCCAAGAGCACGCAAAGAAAGGGCCTCAATGGTGGCTAGGTGATGCATGTGATCCCCCGGAAAAGGTAATGGAGAGTTCGAAGTTGGCCTGTGGCCCGAATTTTGCAACTATCTCAGCATCCGGATATCAGGTGCTGATCGATAGCGGTTCCCAATACGATCTATTTCAGGGCGGCAATGCTTCCTGTAGCATTCGGTACTTCACTTGTTGGCAGCTAACGTGACGATTAGCATCTTAAAAACTGACTCTCATTAAACCTAGGTAACAATGATAAATAATTTTCTATATAAATGAGCCAACAAGCGGCTAGCATAAAAACTCCTATTCTGATGAGGGTTCGGGGGTTTCACCTTCCCCAGAGCCGCGTTGACCAAAGTCAAAGGCCACAGTTGTTCGCTATCACATCGAATCGGAGCAAATGAAAACCAAACATTCTACAAAGGAATCTAAGCAAACATTCAGTATAACGGTGAGAAAATAACATACCTGGCTGGTATGGGCCACACATCACCCCAGTGACAGTTAGAACAGAATAGAAGTCCGGTATACTCACACAATCGAGGCTGTATACTAGCATGACCGTCTCAAAATGAAAAAAAACACCTTAGTCAATGGGTATGACAAATTCTAAATCTTGAGTACAGATAATTTCAAAGTAAAAGTTCGATCCCAATAGTGACAACTGAAATCCTTCAAATGTCAACAACTTTTAAATGCAATGGTGTGTCAAAGGGCATGGCGAGCAGAAGTAGTATTCATTAAGAGCACTTCATAAAAAATCTAACCAACCAACTTGTTGATATCTCACATCACAGCAAATTCAGATGCCAACTACTTCAGCATGGCAGACTTGTCTGCACAAGTCTACTAGGTTATAACTGATCACCACATTTTGGAAACGGTTTTCCTTATCATATTAAATCGACTTATAGCGAAGATAAAGGGCGGGTTTTCTCGGTTTATATACATAATGTTTGCACAACAGTGCAACTGGAGCAGTGACTCGCAGCCTCGCCAATGCGTTCATATATAAAGTTGAGTTTCCTGTACTTGAATTCTAGCCGCTTCTACGAAACGATAGCTGCCTGAAATGTGTATGGAGGGAACTACGCCTCAAAACGATAAGTGTGGTGGAAATAAATTCTAGTTCATCCTGTCCACTTACAACCAAATAAGTGCAGCTATAACATTTTGCTTAAAAAGGCCAACCTAGGCAATTCGATAGCAACGACTTAAATACCAAGGACTACTCTAATACCTATAGGGCGGATAGCACAGTGGTAGTGACGTCCGTCATCACGAACATGGTGCTAGTTCGATTCAGCTCCGGGCTAATCAAGCCTCTACTCCCTCCGTGATCGGGAAATTGGTACCCAATTTGTACGGACTGGTCTACGTTATCGATATGTGTAGGCAACTCTGCGTCCGTATAAAGAACATCTACTCGGTAATATCTGAATTGAAACCAATTACCACTAGGCAAGCATAGCACACAGAAACAGAGAGGAGAAGAATTTGAAGTAAAAGTCACTATCATCACATAGGAAACCGGAACATCAGCGTGTAGAAATTCTAAAGTGTTTTCAACAAATTCCAGAAGTTCAGAAATGAATCGCAAGAAGTGGCTGGCGATCAAAGTGACCTCGTTCCTCATTCCAAACCCTTTTTCCCATGATTCTCTTGCCCTGAGCCATGCGCATCGCTCACCCACATAGCACTCTGCGCGAATGGTCTCTAACATTAACTGAAGGACTTAAAAAGAGCGAAACCGCGAGTGTATAAAAGAAGTTGTTTACAACGTGGAAGTAAAATTTTTCAAAAAGTTTTATATTCTGGGGCTACGAAAGTGTTTGTCTGAATAGACTGCATGTCAATTTGAACTTTCCAATTTCTGAAGAAGGTGAAACCGCCGAAATGTCAGCTATTGCAGATGAACAAATGCTGTAATAACCACTTCGTATTTGCACATTAAGAATGAAGTGAATTACTCATCAGTGTCGACGATTAAATAAAGTGTATTTTGGGATTTGCTATCTAGGAATTTACGCGTTGCCGACTTGATGCAATCGTCCATAAACATCTTACAATTCTTTTCAGTATTTCTAAGTGACTTTTTTTTTCATAATTTCTGCAGATTTAACTATCTGAACATGGTTTAGATACATGCACGTCCACTATCATATATATATATATATATATATCATTATTATGTATATATATATATACACCAGTACAGCTACAGGTATACAGAAGGTACAAGCCAAATCAGTGCAGCAAACACAACGCGATCCATCATTGAATCTATCTTCACCAAGCAGGAACATAGAAGCTTCAGGAAAATATTTAATTCTTTCCGCAACCTGGGAAGATGTATCTGGAAGTAACCGGTTCGAGTTCCCTCCTACTGAGAGATAAACCATAAAGGATAAAGAATTCGGTATTCATCAATCCCTGAAGGATGAACCATACATTCGACGTCATTGATTATCGTTCATCGTGAATGCATATATGCCTCCTACAATAACTTTTGGTAGCATACTATGTCCTATGTCGAAACGAAACAAAGTCGCTATCCTCCCAAACAAGTCCGGTAAAAATTCGCCGACCCTCAACAGAATGAAAAAATTGCGTGCTCGAAGTGAACCGAAACAGTTAGAAGGCCGTTTTAGAATCACGTTCATGTGCACTGCCATGTTTAACAAGGACACACTTTCCCGTCAAAAAAATTTCAGCGTGGTAGAGTACTCTCTCAGTTAGCTCTGCAATTTTCTTACCATTCATTTCTTACACTAAAACAATTTCCATTGGTTGCACTTATCTAGGTCGAAAGTTTGAAAATTCAGTCAAAATGATAAACTTGCTCCAATTCCAATTTTTTTTTGGTAATCCTCCTATTCTACCTCCTTCATACCCTACCGCAATAGAGGACATGCCTAGAATTAACGAGCTGTTCATTTCTCACCAGTGCATTTACCACAGTATCCATATGAATTGTGAGGATTTGTCGTTTATTCCATCTCCGTTACGTGAGCAAGCAACTTGATCCCATACCCACGAATTCGCAAAAAAAGTAAATATTCATATGCGATAAGCAAAACAAAGCTTACGGAATACTTCCTGCCTTAACGTATACGTCAGAAACCTGGTCGATGCGTAAGCAGGATGAAAGACCACTCAGCATTATTGAACGCGCATTCGAAAGGAAGATGCTAAGAGTATCCCGTGTCACACAAGTAAGGGAAGGGACCCGATGCTCCAACCTGCGACAAAAATCAAATACCAAAGATGCCGTTCTATACGCCAAACTGTCGGAGATAAGTTGGGCCAGACACGTAATGCGTATGAACAACAACCGATCGACAACGGCCGTTAGTGACTGAATTCCTCAGGATGTCAAACTTACATCAGGAAGACCACCGACCCGATGGTCGGAGTTCTTCAAGCCTAGAAGAAAATTAAGATTCTCAATGAGTCCATAGAGCGAGCAGAACCAACTGGGTTACTCTTGTACGCGACAGGGAAAAATGGAAGATTTACTGACTTCCACTCGAAACACTAGACGATCAACGGGACAATAGGTGATACAGTCATATTGAATTGCGCAATATGGTTCAAGATGGCTATATATACACATATACAATATATAAATATATATCAACAGTTGTTGATCATTTCCTTAGCTGCTTTTCGACAATTATTTGTCTCATATCTGAACGAATTTCGTTCAACTCACCATAATCCAAATGAGTGTCGCACTCAGCACACGCATAGTTCTGGGCACATAGACCGCGCTCTTCACAAATGTTGATGGGTAGAGAGAAATCATGACGAGAAATGGTAATTCCCGCGCATACGCGACGCACCTCATTCAAACACTTGTCGTGTGTGCGAAGACCACAAACTATAAGGGAATTCGAGGTAAGGAACAGAACAAAAAGGAAAGCTCTACCTTTACAACGTCGCCATGACTGAACCAAGCGCCATATTGTACTAATACAGACTTCACAATAAGGGTTTCGTCGTCCACGACTGCGCTGCAAAAGAAATTCGTGACCAAGTATCCTGGTTACTCGATTGGCTTCATCATCATCAGTTTCCTGTAAAACACCTATACTATTATCATTTAAAAAAAGAACCTTTGATATTACTAATCATCTAATGACTGTAATATCTCCAAGACACCGGCAATGTCTTACGTCGGCACATGAAGCGCCTCACGTTTGACAATTTAAATCCGCAAGCCACACTTTACACAAGGCCCTCGACTTCTGCAGTTGTTGCCCAGGAGTCATACACTGTTAAAGCATCACAATTTGCGACAACGAAGAGGGATATTATCACAGGCAGCTTGCCAGGCACTTCTGGACAAACGTAGAGCCTACGAAACTCTCGACACAGAAAAAGCACAAGACCCCGGTGGTTGAACATGGACCAAAACGACCAAACACTGAGATGGATGTGTATTTTCTTCGGATATATGACTAAACCCATTCGTTCGTGCACAGTTGCACTGGAGTGTGTAGATTTTGTCGGTTACGTTATTTCGGCAAGTGAATTTTATTAAGACTATGTGTGAAAGCCACAGATCTCCCTCATAGAACAATCCTATAACGGTTGGTCGCGAGGCAACGTGGCTCGGCCCCACGTGGCGGATAGGGGCTTAGTCGCGGGCCAAAAGAGGCTCTTGACTCCCTGAGACGCAGGATCTAGGAGATGAACTCTTCGTTTCTGCTGCGTTGATTTGATAAACGGGCCTCATTTCCCTGACCTCGAAAGAGCCCTTGGTACGCCCTTAACTCTATGGAAAGATTGGTCTTCGCCAGATTAGTTAAGTATGCCCCATTCACGTTCAATGGAATATCTCCAAATTCTCCATTTACGATCTCCACGATTCCTCCTGCCTTAATATATGCGTATGCTAAGAATATCACCTCGACCTCTGTCAACCACCCAAAATCAAGGACGTCGTTCTAATCACCAAACTGTCGAAGATAAAGTGGACCGGATAGGTAAAACTTATGAACAACAACCGATGGCCAACAACGGTTAGTGACTGGACTCTTTGGGATGTCAAACGCACTGAAGGAAGGTCACCGACCCAATGGTTAGAGTTCTTCACGAAAACTCTAGAAGAAAGGTATGGTGCTCAAAGAGTCCCTAGAGCGTGCAGAACCCACTGGACTACTCTTGCACGCGATACGGAAAAAAGGATGATTTACTAGCGCCTGCTCGAATCACTCGATGGTCAACGAAAGGACAGAGTGATACAAGTGGTGTGAAAAAGTTTGAAGTTGCCACCAAGACATTAGCACCATGCCTTTTGAACAACCGAATGAGACTCTGTGTAGCTCGAAAGATAGAATCCAGCGGGAAACACTGGTGCGCTACAGAAACGAATAGAGATACTAGTGGTATCCCCCCGAGTTATTGAATTACGGGATTTGCAGAACAAATTTATAACAAATATATGAGTCACTTTTACTAACCTCTACCGTTTGTTTTTCGAGGTTAAGCTGGATAATCTTGTCGAGATACATTTGTTTAAGCGGCGAATCATCATCGAACATGCGTTCTTTCAGCTTCTTTTTGCAAAAACATATTGCAGCCACAATCTCATCTACTCTAAAGTAATGATGTCATTTCGAAAACAAAGTATTACTTCTTCTTAAGTTCATTGGCATCTATCGAGGATATCACCGACGGGAATAACACCGCTACTGTGCTATCTTCGTGGTTGAGGATTTCGTAAATTTACAAACACTGTGTCCTATCGTCAAAAAGGTATACGTATACATTGTATACATTATACGATCCGTCTTCATATCTTTACGGATCGCAGTACTCCATACACTTGACTCATTTCTTCACACCCAATACCCACCGTCTTCGAAAAATTAGCATGTTGTTTGTGGGTGCTTGAAGATTTCGCGTTCTTTACAATCTTAGAGACTACCAAGCTAAGTTCCAACGTGAATGGGAGGGCGTTGGAGAGGATGTCGACCATGCACCGTGAGTCCTTGCGGAGTGCGTTATTAGACTGAGCGCTGCGCGTAGTGCAATGGTTAGATCTGCTCTACAATACATACGTGGCCTCATTCGATCCTGCGCCCGGAGATCAACAAGAAACAAATTTTTGACGCATGTGTGGCAAAGGATCAAATTTGATGTAATGGCTTCCAAAAATAATTTCATCGCCGTACGTAGTAAATTTGCATTGCTCCGGAAACGATCTGTACATTCCAATGAGTTTTACTCTAAGTGATACTTCTCATTATGAGATGAAACCTATTAAAGGGATTAATATTAAGATATTCTCGCTCAAGAATACTATGTAATCAATACATATGGTGCTAACATCTTGTCCTGATAACACAACTGAATTTCTCACCTAGTACAGTTCTCTTCTCTAGCACGATATTGTGATATAACATCAGCGACCTCAACGTCAACAGATGACGGCTCTTCACAAATACTATCTCTTCGGAAGGAAATATCAGCAAGAGTAGAGACATTGGACGATACCGATGACATCAGCAGAGAAACAACGAACTGCAAGTGACGTAACTTTCATCTATCCGCCTATATACTATAATATATGTATATACATAAATGTATATATATATACGTACGTACACATGTACATGTATCTACAAATATATATATATATATATATATATGTAAAACTATAAAATAAGCCAAACAATTTCACCTAAACAGGGAAAGTTCGATAAAAATGCTCAACTAGCAGCGTAGCAACCTAATGCAGTCTTTGATTTATTGGAGTGCCAAGTTATGGCCTGGTGTATAATTGCTTTATCGCAGAGAAAAAAACAGGTACATGAACTACATGTAAACCTAAACCAATTCATTAATGTAGATAATATGTCCAGTCTTAACACACTTGGAGCAATGAAAGCACTATAAAGGTAACCATAGTTGGATATCGTCTCATTGAGCAAAATCGCCAAGCGGGAATGCCGTTATGTAATCGAGGCACATACCCGTCTTAAAGAAGTACTCGCAGAGATACCAACATCTTTTATGTTCATAAATAACATCTTAATATGGTTAGGTGTGTCATGCTTGGTCTATTACCTAATCAAAATCGTCCATAATTCACCATCGTCCAAACATAATAATTTCTGACTAGTCTCCAAACCCTCAACGGTTTACAGTGTCATCGTAGAAGGGCTAACGCTCCTAGATACCCAACCGCGATGTGCAATGACACTTGTTCCTCTCTCAGTGGAGTGTCTCTTTACGAGCAAAGACGACTGACACTTCTACACGGAAACTGGCACTGTCAAAGATCGGCAACACTATGGTGAAAATCCAGACAATGGGTTGCGAACCTCCTTCTGATCCACCGGAAACTGCTTCGTGAAAGGTTTAGCCAAGCTGCCAACATCAAAAAGCACGTGGCATTAACATACCTCTCTTATTCTGCGCCCACAACATAAAAGACTGTAAAGAGATCGATAGAAATAGCTGAGAGACAGGGGAAACGAAGGACCCGTATGGTGTGGTGGTGAACGCGTTACTCCCCGGAAAGGACAATAGCGCGTTCGTTCCCCACCATAGACACTTGCGGTCCAGAGTTTTGCAAATATCTCATCAACGTTGTGGTTGTATTTCGCTTAGTAACCTGCCATGAAAATTATAGAAGGCAGAAAACAAAACGTTAAACATAAAAGACTGTCTTAACGCTTTTATTTACTGCCTTTTTCTTTTTAATGGCAGGGTATGTTGTGAAATATAACTCGTATATAATGCTGAGATATTTGCAAAACTCCGGACCGCAGGTGTATGCGGTGGGGAACGAACACACGCTGTTGTCCTTACCGGGTAGCAGCGCACTTCACCACCACACCATCCGGGTCCTTCGTTTTGCCTGTCTCTCATCTAGTTCTATCGATCTTTTTTTGCTGATGGCAAGTGGTGAAGTGCGCTACTCCCCGGAAAGGACAATAGTGCGTTCGTTCTCCACCGCATACACCTGCGGTCCAGAGTTTTGCAAATATCTCACCATTATATACGAGTTATAAAAGACTGTGTTCTAAGCACGAACCTTACGCAGTTCCAAAGATTACAGATTCTACCAAGCTCTACCTGGTCGCTCCACACGGAATCAAAAGTGGTAAGACCAAACAGCATCAACTAAATCAAACTACCCTTACTATCTATTTTGATTGATTTCGCAAAGCTGGTAACCTAGACATTCTCACAAATTGTTACCACCAGCTTCAATTAGTAAATCATCTTGCCACCTCACTTTGTAATTGTCTCTAACTTAAATCTAAAACATGAACAACACCATCAACTGGTACTCACCGTAAAGAACTTATCGCTGTTGTAGACTGTCAATAGATTTTAAAAACCATTCACAACAAAAACTTCTGCAAGCTATCTTCCATAAGGGATCGCGCAGCCTGAAATAGTATGACTCAAATCATAACAGAAAACGTACAGTTGTCCAAATAATGCCATGTTCGGAGTTTTGCAAACGTCTCAACATCATTATGGTCATAAGAACAATGCCTTTTCAGGAACATGATCATTGACAAACACGAAACCCGATGGATAAAACTCGAAAATGATCATCAGAGGAGTCGACGATGCATTTAATTTGCACCTGACTATGGCAAGTCGACGAAAGTCACCGAAACCAAGGTGCTGGGATGACAGCACACCACAGCGTGAACAGCCGAACTGATTTCTGCTCACTCAGTCGCACTCCGGTCGATTTTACAACACATTCCGTTCACCAGATGTCTTCGGAAACGTAAGTTTAAGCTTTCCATTTAAAATGATTCTAGACGGCCCCTATTTCTCCCAAGTTCCCTATAGAAACTCTCTATCACCCAAGATCATCAAAGAAACTGCAAAACTGTAATATTGCCTTATTAGTAGACAACTGTGATTCCACTGTCATACTGTCAAAGCTTATTCATAGCTCCTAAACTCATAACTCTCCTACTACCGTACGACATACTCCCAGAAAACCTGTACACATTAAGAGAATTATTCCTAGAGTTATAATGATAATAATGCTTACTTGGATACTTGGACGCCGGTCTTCACTGGTTGTACGGACTTCAGCAGAATTGCAGTTCTCTGGAGATTTGCTGGTTTAGTTAATGTGGTTTGATGGAGTGTAGAGCAGAGAGAGCTTTGCCACCACGCGAATAGTTTGGTACCAGGACGGTGGTCGATCCTGGTATTGGTTTACTCCTAGCTGGGCTTCCTGATGAAAACGCCGGACTGATTCTCAGCCTGGGAGACCCTGCCAAGGGATGAATCCCCCGCTGTACATCGCAATTCAACACCCAGGAGCATCTTCCGGCCACGATGAGGCGGTAAACCGTTGGGGAAGTCATAAACGATATGCGACTATAATCACCTGTTTTAATGTTCCTTATTGGAAGTTACATGAAAAGTGGTGTTTTTCGAGACGCTGCTGATCATGTAATTGCCCTAGTTTTTCGTCTTTTTGTATGTGTTATTGAACCGTTTGGCCTAGTAAATTGTATACCAGTATACCCTCCAGGCTCTGAAGGCGATTTTGCCCTAACGTCAGTACTGTTGTATTGTATTGTTTATCTATGGAAGTAAATGTTTCTACATAACAACCTCGCCATTGCTGAACAAGAAAACCACGCAGTAATAGTAATAACAACAATAACAGTATTTCCAACGGTTTATCGCCCATCGTGGCTGCGAGGTGTTCCAGGGTATCGAGCAGCAATATACAGCGAGGTATTCATCTCGTAGCAGCAGGGCCTGCCATTTTGAGAAGAAGTCCGACGTTTCCATCCAAAATCCCAGGTAAGAGTAAACGAATACCAGGATCTATCACCGTCCAGGCATCAAAGCAGTCGAATGGTGGCAAATCTTTTTCTGATCCACGAGGACGGCGATTGGTTGTGGTGGTGACGACCTGTGGCTGACTTTGCGCTGCTGACCTCGGGACTCCGAGGAACCAGAACGCCTAAGCCAGTAAATCTCCGAGAAATGGTGGTTATGCTGGGGTCCGCACAGCCATTGAAGACGGGCCATCCGAGTGTCAAAATAATAACAGATGATAATAATAACTACTAATCATGTCGAATTAATTAGCAACTTCCTGTTGCCCAAATACATTATTCAAGTAATTCGTTTCAACTCATATAATTGGTCAAAAGTGGAACAAGGTGAACAAAACAAAGAAGACAACGCGAGATTTAAAAAAAAACCGCTTCCATTTTCATGTAGCGAAACCTGACTGAACAAGATTGTATATAAGAACCTCTAAACTCTTTGACGATGAGTGCAGGTTTAAACAGGACAGGCGGTACGCCTCGTTAAGCTTGCTTAGTCGCACAGTGTAGTAATACACTTAACCACCAACGAGCAAACATACTACAGAAAAATACAAGTAATAGTAATACACTTAATCATTTATTTCTAGTCATTATTCTCTATTCCCTCTCACCGGTTTATAGCCTCATTGTAGCTGGGAGGTGTTCTTGGCCGTCGCACAGCGGTGTGCAGCGGGGTGCAGCGGGGTGATTCATCCCTATGGCAGGGTCTCCCAAGATGAGTCCGGCATTTCCGTCAGGAAGCCCAGCTACGATTAAACCTATACTACGATCCACTAGCCGAATGGTGGCAAATATGCCTCCGATACACAACAGCTGTGACTGCCTATTGTGTTGACCGCCTGGATCAGACTTTGGTCTGGATGACAACGGGACACCAGGGAACCACAATACGTAGACCGAAAAAACTGCGATAAAATGGAGAAGACGCCAGGCCCATACAATCAGCGAGGACCGGCCATGCAAGTATCCAAGTACGTATTCTTTATTCCCACTTAGGGTACAGGTCACAAGACGGCGCACCATCTCACCATAACCTTCACATGTTTGCCATTCTACTATGCTTCCTTCGTCGCCAATGACAACGTCGACATAGCGAAGTGAAATTTAAGCAGTTCCTCCTCCTTACTAAAGCTACCAGGAACCGAATAAGCAATAACTGTAGCTATCTAAATGCGTCTGCACTGCATTACATGCGTCAACGCTGGATTTCGTTTGGTTCAGTCCTACCGGAGAGGGATTGAAAACAGTTCCACGTCGGACACAGCATAAAGAAATAAACGAGTTCGGTCTGTAATCCAACCGCATAAAACGAACCAATGGTTCTTACAATCAGTAATCTTTATTTTGGTCGGAATTTTGCAACGAACAAGTACACAATAACAAGACAATTGATAGGCAACTGTACAGCATTCAGCGTATTAATTGAGAACAGTAACACACTACGATATGTATAATGACGCTAAACTTCCAACTGCCACGTCCACGATGTATTTAGGAAAGAGAGAACATACCGATGTTGACAGAGAAAAATTAGAGGAGGTTCTCAAAAGCTCACCCCATGCTTTCTGTAATAGAAAATGCACAGACGTGGCATGACTTCAACTATTCTGCAAAGGAAATTTATAAAAGAAAAGGAATATATTAATAAAGAGACCATGTCGCTCTTGTTTTTACAACTAAAGTCAAAATTGCAGTTGCTTCAAGCAAAGGACACCGTCATCGCAAATATGAGACAAAAACTCTAGTCTACTACGAAAAATCCGATTGACATAATTGCTTTTAAATAATAACAGTATATCAAGTAAGCCTTCATAGTGAAAAAACATTCAAACAATCTGGCCCTGTTGAAGATCATGTTCATCGACATGAACCAGATGCATATGGTGCTCCTCATCCAAATGCTCCAAGCCAGGAATTTTAGTAATTGCCGTCTTGTAATCACGCATTTCCTATGAATAATACATCTCATATTAAGTTTGAGAACTGCGTAAAAGTGAAAATTATTCGATTGGTATTGTCACTAACTCAATTTTTAAGGATCAAACTGGAAAGATAGTAGAACGATTACGATACCTCAGCATATCTCTCCTTGTCAGCGAGGGCTTTCCTCTCGTACATGTCTTTTTCGTCCACTGAGACAGTCTTCCACATTCGACCTAGTTCTTGCGCCACCTAAATTTCGTAGTCACTAAAACGCAAACTTTAACAAAGCAACCCTCAAGCTGGAAAGTTTTTTGAAATAGAAAACTGTGTCACGAGAATAAACTACATCCTTACAAAAGAAAGCACGACAAGAAAAAGGTGAGACGTAACGTTCTATCCTAAATTCAACTTTTTTTTATTATAAAAAGCGCCCGAATACAATACATAAAAAATATACACATTTGCATCTTCTACTTTGCGAAATTCTCCCAACGGTTTGCCGCCTCATCGGGGCTGGGAGGCGCTCCTGAGTGTCGGGCTACGATGTGCACGCGGAAGGATTTATCCCTCCGGCAGGGTAACCCAAGCTGAGAAGTCTGGAGTTTCCGTCAGGAAGCCCAGCTAAGAGTAAACCAAAACAGGATCCACCACTGTCCTAGTTTCAAACTAGTCGAACGGTGGCAAATCACCCTCTGATACACAAGGGCTGTGACTGCGTGTGATGGCGACCTGGGACAGACTTTGAGCAGGCTCTCCTCGGGAGTCCGGGTAACCATAATGGCTAAACGAGCAAGTCTCCAGAGAATGGAAATTATGCTGGAAGCCGCGGAAGAAGTGAAAACAGGCCATCCAAGTATCGAAGTATCTGCGAAATACAACCGACTAGTAAAAAAGGCTACATTACCTGACCAACTTTCCACTCTGGATGCAGTTGCTGAACTTCGGGTCGTCTGTCCTGAGAGAAGAAGAAAAACGCCGATCTGGAACTTTTCCAATGACCGAAATAAAAATGAGAATGATGTATTTAGAACCACATACAAAGCACGTTTTGGTGCGTTCGGATCCTTTTTCGCCCTTTTTCGCTTTCTCATGGCATCTTCTCCGCCGTATGCTGCTACCTCAAAAAGGCATTAAATGGAAAGTTGAATGGAAATACAGCTCTAAACAGTGTACCTAAAGTGGAGATATAATGTCCAACTATCATGTTTTTGGCTGAAAACACAATTTATTTCACATTCAATCAACTCTATTCTATTGGCGATTGTTTTAGAACTAACCTCTGCTTGATACCTTTCAGCATCTTTTTGAGCAAGTTCATAGAAGCGTCTTTTCTCATCATCAGACATTGTCTAGAAGAGTTCTAATAACATATTCAACCGTTATCACACATTAATTATATAACATACTTTCCACTTCTCACTGCACTTTTTCGATATCTCAGTGACCTGCACATTCTCATTAGGATATTTCTTTTTGTGCTCCTCGTAGCACATCTTCACAAAGAAGCCATAAGGCGAAGTTTTTCCACGAACAGGGGGTTTGCCAATGTCCCTCATTGACATACCAGAATAAGTAATACCAAAGTCAACGGCTGCCTGAAATAGAATCAGAAACAAAGTAAACTACAACAGCCTTCATTGTTGCTCGTTATGCTTCGTAAGTAGTTGCAGTTTACAACTGGTTTTTTGGAAATTCCGAAGCGAGAACAATTTGTCAATATTTTTTTTTCCAAAGTCCATGTTTTAACTTTTTGAGGGAAGAAGACAAATATAGGATAATTTCCTTCAACTTAGCTTAAAGTCCAAAACTTCAACAAAAACTTTAACATCGAAAGATTGGAATGGGAAGAAATGCGATGATACCCACTGTATTCCTTTAGCGCAAAAACATGTGCATTCTAAACATATTGCCTGCTACGATCGTAGATCCCATTATAAACACATCTAGACTGCTTTGATTACGCCCACATTTTTAAGCTCCGATTTCAAAATACACTGCTCAGCAACATCTGCAGCTCTGAGGAAGGGATAAAAGAACCGCAAATATCTAAGACCTGCGTAGGAAGTAATTACAATGCCGCTCATAAATACATAATACAGGATTGCTTTCAATAGATGTACCTCATGTGAGAGATGTTGAGCAATATAGTCTCTATGACACTCGAAGTGTCCCTACTTTGTGTATAGGGTGTTAAACGTGATCCAGAAAACTGCGGCGCACGTCACTTGGACAGTTATAACGATTTACGTGAAATATTGTAAAATAAGTTCTCCTTCCCTAACCCATACCACCCTGGGGCCGTCTCTCGTCGCTGACCCTATTGAATACAAGAAACTTTTCATCGGCTGCGAACTTTCTGGTTTTTTGACAACAAAAACTAATTTTTCAGTAACTAGAGTATCTGAGGATTCCTGACATAGTCGCATAAGACTCTGCTCTATCGCTCGATGGGTATGATACGTATGCTACTATTTACTGAGTGTCACCATGGTCCGTTATTCAAATACAAAGCTGGCAGCGCATGGAACTATTTTGCACCAACTTTATTTCGGTTTTTTTTAACATGCGCACCTCCTATAGTGTCAATATGGTGACAGAAATGAAATAGCAGCTGGTCATATTGTCGCTCAATAAATTTTCCCGATACAAATAGATTGTAAACCACTAATTGTATAGAATGGTTTCTGCGTCTCAACACTTGTATGCACGGAACTCCCTCACAAAAGGATCTCACACCGGTTAGTCTCGAGTGAACATGGCGCGGCCACACGTGGTGGATAGGGGATTAATCGCAGGCAAAAAGCGACCTCTGACTCCATGAGACGCCGGTTGATCAAAAGGATGGACTCTCTGTTTCTCCTGCGCTGATTTGGCATATACGTTCTGCATTTACGAGCACGTACTCATGCATGGTGCGTGGGTGTTCTCTCGTTTATGTGGATTGTATTCTACGAGTCATTTCGGCCAAAAGTCTACTATCGAGTGACAGGGAAGTACAAGTACTATAACGAGGAAGAAATCGAAGCGTTCTAGTATGTACTTGGAGAAGCTCTGCAGAGAAGACCATACATTCTTCAAGGACATCACTAGGGATTTTAACACTGAGACTGGACCCATACGAACGACTAAAGAACGCTATATAGGACCCACGGAGTAGCTGGAAAGTCGTGATTCCAGAAGTCCCACTTTCAACGTTGGACGTGGGAGTTTTCGAATGGAGAATACCACAAGGAAAAAAACCACATCGTAGTAAATAGGTTTTGTCGAACCAATGTCGCCGTTGTCCCAAAATTCTACACGGGATCAGACCATCATCTTCTTCGTGCAAGATTTCATTTTCGCAGAAAAGTGAAAAAGCGCTAAATTCACGGAACGTAGTCCCAAAACCATCATAAACTGGGACTGATTCAATTTGCTAATCGGCTGTTGGGAAGATGCCGTTTTACATCGATGAAAAGTACGATACGCTTATTCAAGATCTTCACGATTGCGCTACGAAGGCTGAGTATTCGAAAGTCACAAATAGAACTCTGTCCCACAGTACACTCATGCTGATTCGCGAGCGTGGAATCGCACAACTAACGTCCGAACTTGCGAAGCAGATAGGCGGTAAAAGAACTTGAAGAGAGAAGCGCAGCAGTAATGGTCGAAGTTGCATAGGCTGGAAAAAGCATTCGCAAAGCCCACAGAAGCTTCGCCAATTACAAGACCAAAATGATTGCACTCCGGCGCCCAAACGGAACAGTTACAGCGTCCAGAAAGGTAGTGGAGAAAATCATTCACGAATACTACTAAGATCTCTTCGATAGCCACGTCTACCTTCCGTCATATGAAATAAAGGATGATGGATGAGTCGTACCATCGGTTCTCCCTTCCAAAATCAGACATGCTATTTCGTCGATGAAAAATCCAACACCAAGTTCAGATAGGAAAGGATCTGATCACCTGAAGAAGCTCAGAGAGCCAGTCCTCATAAAAACAGTGACTCTAAAGTGTTAGGCGTGGCGATACCATTTCGCTAAAATTACCTACCACCACCCAGTGAACATCATGCGAACACTGGAATGGGAGAACGTGGGAGTGAAAATCGATGGTCGGTAATTACACCATCTTCACTTTACTAATGACATCGTTCTTATAACATCATTCATGAGCCAAGAGGATCGAATGCCTGCCCACTCTAAGAACGTCTGGGAAAAAATTGGTCCAAAACTAAACCTTACAGAAATGTTCATGACGAACGGATTGATTACGTATGTCTCATTCATGCTAAACAGAATGAACACCTTAGAATGCCCCAGCTACGTCTAAGTAGGTAAACCAACGCGAAGAAGAACTTAGCTCTATAGTTGAGCAGGAGAAAGCTAGCGGTTTGGGGAACTTTGAAGACGATCGAGGGTGAAGTGAAGAGATTAATAAAATCCGATTCCATCCCAACTTTTCCCATTCTACGACTCTTCCTGCCTTAACGTATGCGTCAGAAACCTGGTCGCTGAGTAAGCATGAAGTATTAACTTTTAACGGGACCCATTGTCAATCAGTTACCCAAAAGAAACACCACTATAAAGAGAACAGAAGTATTTGCTGAACAGAAGTAGAAAGAATTATTTAATCAATGCCAAGGTTAATAGAAAGCTGGACTTGAGAGTTGTAATAAATAGAATTTGAAGAAAAAGGACGCAAAACGAAAACTCCTTTAATGTACAGGGGTTCGCCACTACTTCTAGTGAACACCTGGGAATGGTCTAGCACACTTATCTCGGGATTGGTGTAGAAGACATGCCTGCTCTATGTTTTGCATTGTAGTGACAGACGATAAATTCTGAGGCTGCAAGCAAATCGCACATTAACAGAATGACATCTATGGACAACGACAGCAAGAAGAAACGAGTGGAAGAAAGTTTGGGCTCACCAATGTGAAAAAAGCTCATCAATGTACCTCTGTAAATAAGCTATCGATGTGTAAAGATGAATAGCAAAACCCGCCATTATGCTCTGAGGGAAACAATACCTGTACAGTGATGGTGTTAGGGACAGATTCAATATCTCTACTGCGGCAAAATAAGCGAAATAATAATTTTGCTCACACATGTCAATACCTAACATATACATATATATGTATATATATATACATGATATATATTTACATTCACGTATGCACATGTGCATTGTGTACGCGCATATACGTGTACATGCATACGCTAAATATATTTATATATATATGTACGTATAATTGTATATATGTATGAATAAATATATGTATAAATACATGTACATATACATATATATGTATAAATACATATAAGTACAAATGTATATATATATGTATATATATATATATATATATCTCAAAACGTCCCGATACCGCATTTCGCGCTGGCCCAACCGACCACAAGCAATTTTTTGTCGGCTGCAGACTTCCTCGTTCTTCGAAAATAAAAAACGATTTTTCAATAACTAGAGCACTCTAAGCCTCGTGGGCATGACAGAAACTGGAGAAGAAACTTTGCTCTACGGTCCTATGAGTATCAATCGTATGTATGCTACTCACTCTGTTACCCATGATCCATTATGCAAGAGCTCTGCTGTCAACATTTTAAAGTATGTTGCATCCCATGTTGAGTTAACTTCGGTATTTTTTATATCCACATATTTCATGCGATGAGCATGACGATTACAAAGAGATAACAGTTAACTGTTCATCAAATTATCGGCCAATAAATCCTATCGAAAAAGTGGTTTTCGTAAATCATTAGGCATAGAGAATGGTTTTACGATGTCATACCTTTGATTAGCTATCAAATGAATGTACACACCGCGGTAAAAAACCCTGGCACGCATTACGATCAATATCGATACTATAGTGACCACACGGAGCGTTATGGATATATAAATGTGTATATACATATATATACATGTATGTATATGTATATATATATAAATATACGTATATACTACACATATACATCTGCATACATATACGATAGATCAAAGTATCTTCTATTAATACTTAAAGTTTCGAACTGAAATACTATACAAATCGAGAAATTAGTCAAATGTCGAAAGTCCAGCTTCCTGAGGAATGGGTTAGCGATATTATGAGGTCGTCTACAGTAAGCATTCTTTGCTTTCACTCTCGAAGAACCCGAATTTGTTCTCTGTAAACATGTGCACAGCGCAGTCTCACGGGATAACTGTTAAACTTACTGAGTAACCCTCATATGAAACACAGATCGACCGATATTACAGTGGTAGCGACTCGAGTTACTGAGGGTTACTCACCACAAGTGTTGCAAAGCGGTCGACACCTCAACCTCCGCAGAAACCACATTTCCCTTAGCAAATGAGGGCATGATATTCATCACAAATACCATTGTGAAGACCTCACAGCACAACAAATATTTCTATCAAGTGGTTTTTGGAGAAATAACTCTTATACAAACGATCGCGTCAACACTTCGTACTGCTGAGTGTTGGAACAATACATTTAGGTAAACTGTGAACATTTAAGCACAAGCCTAAATTTCAGTGGAGGATTCGCTTGTCACATGCTGATTACGTCAAAAAAAGGACTCCAGTAGCAAACATGGAATTTGCATCCAGACTGCGGCTTAAAATCTAAAGTCTGTACACTCCAAATAATAAAAACGCAGCCGGCGTGGTCACTTTTTTAAACCACGACTACTGACAGATAAGGTTCTAAGCTTCTATAGAGTATGCTTTTAATTTCAAATATGCTTCGACTCAAAAATGTTGGGGAAAATTCATGAAGAAACTCAAACCCTTAAGATTTCCCATGCAAGCGCAAAAACTTCAAATGTAAACAATATAATGGGAAGAACAACCAGCATCATCAATTAGCATCAATTATTTTCGCATACTTCAGTGTTCTTCTAGATCAGCAAACAAGATTACCAATTATAATCATTTTCGCTTAAGTTGCATTGCAAGCAGCGGGTAGCGCAGAGGTAGTGATGGTGTTCTTCACTGGTACGGTGATAGTTCGACTCCGCCCTGGGTTCACCAAGTCTCTCATCCCTCTGGGGTTAGGAAATCGTATCAGCAAACCTCTTATTGATCTGTGGTTGGGGAAATGTAGCAGACATGTCTTAGGACATTTCATTCACTGCACTGAAAGTAGAAATGCTAGGATTCGGCTCTCTCAGGACTCCAGGGTGAATCAATTCTGCCAGTATTCAACGAATTCATAAATAAGACGGTCACGAAAGCCAAATACAAAACGTTCGAACACGTTCGTGGCTGGTGGATGTGCAAAAGCGATTCAAATGCAAGAAGTACAGGGATCCGCACAGTCGATGTGAACGACGGGTCGTGTTAAATGAAAAGTTACATTGTATAAAATGCTTCTCGAACGCTCTTTGCCAAATGATCAACTCATTCGCTCTCCAGTTTGCACAAGGAATCGCATTCCTGGTCAAAAAATTACTCAAGGCGACACCAATTTGCACTTCTGTTACGCACAATGAAGACAGGCTCATGGTCTAATGGTGTCGTATCGTATCCCCAGCATAGATTGAAAACCCCATTTTATGTTTTCCCCGAAGAAAACCTACGTAAAGAACATCATTTACAACCACGGATTAATCAATATGATAATTGGAAGGTTAATAGCATGAACATCATACCAGTTGACGATTGCAAAGGCAGGAATAGACCGCACGATGCAGAGGTTACAACGAACACCGACGTTACACACGTCAAGTACAAGAAGTCACCAACTACAAAACCTGAAACCGACAGAAATGGCACAGTTGCAGAGGAACACGAAGAACCAGAAGCACTGTAGGTGCTCGAAAGCTCGATCTCGTTGAAGGCATATGGTGCCACGTTCAGAATGTTTTTGCCACAATGACTAATCTCTTTGTTAATCTAGCGAACCGCACATGGGATCTTTCCACTCCGCACAAAAAATGGGCTGCAACTGGTTCCGAGAGCTATGCCTTAGACCAAAAATCGTTGCTTTGCAGAGGTACACGTAACTTGACGATCGCTATAGCACTACCACTGCGCAAGAAATCAATCGATAATCGAAGTGTTGTGAGACAAGATGGCAATGTGAAGAGATGAGAAGATGCGAACTTTAAAATACAAGTGCGGAAGAAATGAATCGAGTTAGGAAGCACCACCAAGCAGACGGTGCAGGAGAGAGAATGCGATCGGCGGAGGTCGACCGGGAGGATGGGCACGCAATAGCGGTGCGGCGACGCGACGCAGAGCGCCAGAGCCCGCAAACAGAGCGCAGACGACGCAAATACGCAGAGCAACAAACGCGCCAGTGTGTGTGGTAGGCGCGGAAACACAGCGTGGCAGAGAGCGAGAGTGTGTGTCGGCCAAGCACGTGCCTTCGTGTAGTGCCTTGCATCACAGAAGTTATCGATCGCATCTGGCCATCTGCCAGCGGCATGGGTCCCACAGCGATCACCGCTTCCGTCAGGCAGAGGGCATCGGATTATGAGGTTCAAGGTTGGGTTACGAGCAAGGGTTAGGGGTTGCGGACTTGGTTCGGTTGTTGTGGCTAATAATACGATTCCGTTAGCACTTCCCATAGTTCTAGAAGGGCGGTGTAGTTTACGTGACAGATCTGGGTGGAACTATGCGGTAGGATCCAGCTTCATCTAGTAATTGAGGGGTCTCCGTGGTGTTTTTGCGTTTTACTCAAAAAAGTTGCACATTTAGATGACCTTGCGGCCCCTCACGGACAGCATTCGTTTTTCAAGGGCGGGTTATGCTGCATGAAGTAGACGTGCTTTGGTGGTATCGGAGAAATCTTGAACCACCGGATAAGGGAAATACAGTGGCGGCTTTATTGTATAAAGATCAAAGCGCAGTCGTACTCTAACAATTATTCTAGTTCGCATTTGCTATTCGTTAAAGGGTCCACCACCAATAGAGTGTGTGTGCCTTCCGAGTCTGTGGCTACAATATCCGAAAGACGATAGCTTGATTGCTTCTTGTCGACCGCTCTGTGAATAGCCCTTTACGCAAGTTGCCTTCGTGTTTCTATAGGGCCAATTCGCACGGTTTCTGATTTCTTTTGGATTTCTCTAACTTCTATAACGTACAAGTACGATATCACGGTAATCGGCCTCGGTGGCCGTTCCACTCTGGCTTTGTTTCTCTAAGGGTTACGTTACGAGCGTTTCGTGGTGCAGTGTACAATTTATTGTCTGTTCCTGTCAATGTTCCATTGTTTCCAGCTGCACATTGTTTACAGGACACTGTGGCAGGTTTACCGAAGCGCTCGGTGCTGGGGATGAACCGTCGCTTGCAAGCAGAGTTTCCTCTTCACAGACTGGTGTATCTCAATGACGTTGACGAGCTCACATGTGTGCTGGACGAGACTGATTCTGAAGACCTGGAGAAGCTCGACTGTCGTGGAAGGTGGACCTACCAGATTCCTTTTGTTTTCTGAGTCATACAATGTTCTACGAGGCAATTTGGATTTTCTTTTGTTTATGGTAAAGAAATCTGTAGGTGTTACTTCTTGAATGTGATTTAATGAGGAGAAATATGCTATTATGCACAAAATTCGCAGATCTCTAGTGCCTTTGCTTGGTGCGGAGCTTTCCTCTTGCATTATTGTTATATCCTCCTAACGGTTTACCGCCTCATCGTGGCTGTGAGGTGTTTTTGGATGTCGGACTGTTATGTACACCGGGGGTTCATTCTCCCGGCAGGGTATTCTAAGTTAAAGAGCCCTGTGTTTCCATCAGAAAGCCCAACTGAGTAAACCGATACCAGGATTCGTCACCATCCTGGTACCAGACTAGTCGCGTGGTGGCAAATCTCCTTCTGATCCACAAGTGCGGTGCCTGCCTATGGTGGTGACGACATGGGGCAGACTTTGGTTTTGCTGTCCTCGGGACTCCGGGGAACCACTGTGGCTAAACCAGCAGAACTACGCGAGGATGGAGATTGTGCTGCGGTCCGCACAACCAGCGAGGACGGGCCATCCAAGTATCCAAGTAAGTAAGTAAATATGCCAACACGATACAATGCATATTCGCAATCTCTGCATTGGTTAAGCCTAATATTAGATTGTTGGTAAATTAATGTAGATTCGAATTTGTATCTTCGAACTTTATACTGGAGTAAAAATCGTTGTAATCTATACATTTTGCTAGTAACAAGTTCTTTTTTATCCAGGTTACATAAAAGTCTGGAATTATGGAGATGGTGGAGTCGTTGAGATGGCCTCGGTTTGGTTTTGGAAGCGTTCCTCGCACAGGTGGTCGATATGCTTGAAGAAGTGGTAGTCGGTAAGCGAGAAGTCTGGCGAGTTTCGTGGATGGGAGAGCATTTCATAGCTCACCTCGTTCAACACTTGCAGCGACGGTAGTGCGCTTTGTGGCTGCATGTTTTCGCCACTGGATTATTCGTTTCTCTGGAGCATTGCAGATCGCAGGTGTTGAAGTTTCCTGTGTATTTCAAGGATGTGCTGGATTTACATCCCCTCCGTATTCGTTTGAATCGTCTTAAGGAAACCGCCATGGCTTCAACCAGCAGCAAGCCACCAAACGTCAGTATCACATGGCTTCGGTGCAATTTCACCCTTGAAAAGTGTTGCGAAGCTTTACCGTCGTCCAACCACTGAGTATCGTTGCCGAGGATTCACTTCTCGTTCCATCACTTTATGCTTGATAGAGAGATCGTCTTGGTTGCGCAGAAGGAGCGCTGGCGATACTTTGAAGCAGCAGATTGTTTTGGTTTTCATTTAATTTGTACGGCATTTATTTGTTGAGGTTCTATGGCTTTCCAGTTTCCTTTAGATGTTTCAAAACAGTTGAGATGCTTACGCTGAGTTCTTCTGCAAGTTCTCGAACAGTTACGCATGTATTTTTTTTTCCACAGAAGACTTCAATTCGTCGCCATCCATAGCACAGGGACGTCCGTGACCTATCTTAGCTTCAACGTCGAATTCGCCACGAGGAAATTTTTGAAATCAATGTTGTACTGTACAATGCATCCACAAGGATGCTGAGATATGAGCAGAACTTGTAACGTCATATGGGCTTCGAACCACGATTACGGTTCCCGGGAGTTCACGTGCTATCCACCACATTAACGAAGGCCCTTGCTTTGCCTTCCTCTCGACCAGGTTTCTACTTTTTTTGCCCTAGATGTGCTATCAGCAGTCATTCGTTAGCGGGAATGAGTGGCCATGTTTAACATAACACCCGTCCATGGGGAAAAAATAGGCAGTAAGTAAAAGAACATTGTGATTGGTTAAGAGAAAGACAAAGCGAGAACCCCGTTTGGTGTGCTGGATAGCACGTCAGTCTCCGGAAAGTGTAATCGTGGGTTGGAAGCCCGTTTGAGAGGTTCCGAGTTCTGCTCATACCTCAGGTTGTACTTCAAATCGTACCCTACCATATGAAAAAAATAGTAAGTGGAATCTAAACACTACACTGTGTATTCGTTGGCACTTCGCTGGCCCCACACCTCGCTAATGTTTCGAGCCTTTTGCGATCCACCACAATCGAGTTTGAATCAGTGAAAGTGGATTCTCCAAAACTCCCATCTTGACATCTGTTTCTGGCCTGTAACGTTTGTCAGAAATGCAGCTCGTGTAACGATTCAAGTGTATAATTCGAAAATGTATAAAATTTGCTTTGTATTGATAGGTAGTAGTTCGGCGTTCAAAGAAATTTCTGCTAAGATGTATATAAGAAACATAGAGTTACAAATCCTGGATTGATTTCCGAACAACCTAATACTAATAGTCATGCAGTTGTGAACAAATGAAAGGCTAGTAATTCAGAATTTACACGGTGTTTAAGGCTAGTAATTCGGAATTTACACGGTGTTTACCACGTAGACATTTTCTGCAAGTCGGATATGTGATATATATCTGGGAGTTCTTTCAGGATATACGTGGACTCGCGATTTTTTTACTCGGTTACCAATTGGGTTTAATTTAGGACTCCTTTGATGCTGGCGGTAACCATGGGGCATAAGCAATGTGCATACGAACTTCTTAAACGAGGAGCCGACGCGGACTCTCAGAATAGAGGTATATGTCCTGATGGTTGGGAAGTAAGTATTCCGCCTTTTACTTACTGCCATTTTATCATTGAAATATTGTAGGTATGTGGTCTGTAAGTCATGAAGCAATATCATTTGGCGATCGAGAATTGGTTAAGAATGTGATAATGTATCGGGATCATCAACGAGGTCTGAAGGGAACGCAAAGTATGAAAGAATGCCTGAAAAGGTTAGAGGTATGTCGTTAACAGTCCATTTCGCACTTTCGTTGTTTGACTTTCAAGCAGTGACCTGTAACATTTTCTTTAAAGAACTCTGCTGATTTCTATTGCGAAATGAGATGGGAATTCTCTAGCTGGGTTCCGTTTATCAGTCGAATGTGTCCATCTGATACGTACAAGGTTTAAACTAGTTTGATTTCTAAGCTGTTTCCTAGATATCTATCATTTGAGAGCTGAATCTTACTTACAGATCTTCAAGCAAGGTTCAAAAGTGCGGATAGATACCACTTTAGTCGGATTTGAATCCACCAGTTGGAAAAGAGGCAATCAGTCGTATATTTTCCAACTCGACAAGAATGATTCTCCTGAATTTGTCATTATTGATCATGAAGCAAGAACGGTACGGTTGTTACGATTTTTATAGCTCGTTTCTGACTTTATTTGTCCACGCGACTTGAGTTTAATGCAAAATTATCTTTGCTCGATGTTGATTTCTCGCATAGTGACAATGGTTTCTCTGTCAGTAAAGTAATTGAGGAATTAGCGACTTGACTTTTAGAAGATATTTTGCTTGGTCCTCTTAATAAATAATGGATAAAGATCTCGGCGTTGATCAATTCCCGAGGGATGCGCCAAGCATTCAACTTCATTAAGCATCGTTGGAGGTGACTGAATGCATATCTGAGCATTGCAATGACTTGTGCTGGCCTACCGATATATCGAGTCATTGCACCTATCCACCCAGACAAGTCTGGTACCAATTTGCCGACCCCGGAGGATGGAAATATTGGTGAGCCTGGAGCGCTGGGATCGATCCCATATGTATTGCAGGGCCCCTCCGACCACTGCGCTACACGCGGTCCTTAATGGTACGTATAATTTTTATGAAGTGTTCTTTCATTTGCAAAGTACTCCTAGAATTAAGAATTGTCAAAAAGTGAACTAAATTCAGATTCAAAAGCTAGGTTTAAACTTTTGAAGTTGCCAACGCAAGCACGGTGGGCACAAACAGAAGTGGTACAGTTGGGAACAGCTCTTTGCTAAGCTAGGTTACACGTATTTAGTCGCTTTGTGTTTCGAATTACAAAAACAGTTGGAAGTTACGTATTCGTGGTCTAAGGAATCAGAAATTTATGTTTGTGGTATAAGAAAGCGTATACTCGGTTGCGAAGTATCTGCAAATTCCAGTGGTTTTTTTAAGTGGTAACCTACCTTTGAGATGAACTATGCTAATTTAGCAATCCCCAACAGCGACTTTCTATTAACCTCGGCATTGATCAATAATAATCCACCGTTTATCTTCAATGAGCTAACTCGACGTTTGTACTATAGAATTTATTAGCACACAATAGTTGACATTTCGGCGGTTTCGCCTTCTTCAGAGCCTGGAAAAGTCAAATTGACATGCAGTATACTCAGCCAAACACTTTCATGGCCTCAGCAGATAAGTGTTAACTCATAAATTTGCATTCGCATAATAAAATGCTTCTTTTAAACACCCACCGTCTTATTCCTTGTAAGTAATCCAATTAATTGCTGGAGAACAACCGCACAGAGTAATACATGGGCGAGGAACATTCCTCTGCAAGTCTCTGAAAAAGGCGATATTCCCGAAACTTCGGCCATTGTTTTCTAGTAAGTTCTGCTATACCATCCTCTTGCTTACTCATTTGAAAAAACAGTGAATTATGTTGATTTACACGTTAAGTTGACCGCTATTTGCTCTCAATATACATTGAAATCAATACATCTTGGGCGTTATGTGTTAAAAGCACCCAATATTAGAAATTGTGGGTTTTCTCAAATGAGTTTTGGATACGTATCAAATGAAGAAGAACTAGAGAGGAGGCGCAGCCATTAAAGCTTTTAACAACCGGTTAGCTGGACTTTGTCTTTCATGTTTGCTGCCCGACTTTTCGCCAAGGAGTGTGTGTCTCAACTTTTTTGTTAGCAGGCAACTCGACAAATTCTGAATACGAATGAGCCACTGGAGGAATTTACCCCATCTGAAACTGCGGTTGAAGTACGGTAAGGTACCACAAGAGCTTGGTTGCCATTGTTATACTCCAGATTGCGTCATTGACAGTGTTATGTGCTGTCGTGTTCAGAATGACGTCACCTATATCTACAACGTTTATTGATGTTGATAAAATTGGATTCGAACGTTCGTGCCGAAGCGGACTACTTAAATGGATAAGTAGCGCAGAAAAAACGGAGATGGTAGATGAGTACGAGTGCAAGGTAATGAGTTCTCTCTGACTCTGTGTGTTTAACATTTATAACACTAGGTTCTTTTAAGGTATTCAATGCATCCAATGTAAATCTGGTAACGAAAACTCGTAAAGAGCACTTGTCGGAAGAAGATTCAGCGCGAGCTAGAGAGGTTGCTTGCTGTTTTTCTAACGAAGTTTTTATTCATGGTATATTTTGTTGTAGAATGATACATCGAATTTCCTCACAAATCTTCTGAGCACTATCAGATCGGAAGTATGTGAGGAGTCAACGAATGAAAATCTTCTTGATACGGGGCTAACGGTGGACGAGTACTTGGATGAAAGTTTTCCTCTTAATGGTGACATTGGCGAGTTTGTGGATTAGTCAGCATTCGTATAGATTTTGAGGATACCGTACAGTTATCTGAAGATTGCGTTTTTTCTTGCAGGGCGACCAAAACAAGTTTCTAAAAAGTCTAATAGTTTCAAGGCCACTCTTTGGTTGGCTAAAGATCATCCACTTTCGTTCCAAGTATGTTTCAGCTTGCACATATATACATATTTTTTTTATTTTATGTGACCCGTCTTCATGTCTACTGTGCGGATCCCAGCACTCCTCACATTCGATTTGTTTCTTTGAATTCATTATCCACGAAGACCTTCCGACTTTTACGTTGGGCCCGGCTACTGCTTCCGGATTTTTCTTTCATTTTGAGTGTCGTAGAATGCTGGTCGAGTCGATTTTCCTTAGAGTGCTGTAATAGCCTGGCTGGAGCGTTTCCATTTGCATAGGAGAAAGCAATTTTTTCTCGAATAAGTGCGGTACCAATATCTTGAACCCGGAGGGATGAGAGGCTTGGTTATCACGGTGCGAAATCGAACTAGCACCATGCTCATGTTGACCGACATCACTACCACTGTGCTGTCCGCCACATTATACATATATGCATATATATATATATGTTCATGTATGTATCCATATACACGCATATGTATTTATATTCAGAGTGGAATTTACATAAATCTTCTTTTAGGAACAAGTTATGCCAATAGTGGATTTGATGGCTGCAAACAGTGCTCATTTCGCACGTTTGCATAACTTCATTCGAATGCAGCTTCCTGCCGGTTTCCCAGTAAGGATCGGTTGGTGGGCGTTTTAAGTGTCAAGAATGAGAAAGCATTATACTCGTAATAACCCAAATCTTGCGACGTTTTGCTAGTGCGCTCATTTTTTCAAATCATTCTTTTAGCTTTGAATTAGTTTGTAGCGGTAATAGTATTTCATTCATATTTTCGATCAGGTAACATGTCTCTGACATGTTAACGTTCCTTTTCAATATGAGATTTCTGTAAGAGTTTTCTTTGCTGGTGTGAGAGCTTCAAACTGTAAGCTTCTAAATCTATTGGTTGGAGTCTTTTGTTTAAGAGATTCCTCTGTTCCATGTGGTCAGCGCAAAAATCACGGTGGGTCGTGTAAATGAACCTGGTCCATTTGTTACACCTCTAGAAACTGCGGTGAGGAATAATTTTCCCCTATCACTTTTCACTGTCCACATTCTTTGAATTAACCGTTTCAGTCCAGTTTCAAAGTGTTGACTGTTGCTATCGACGAAGACGTTTTCAACGTACCACAATCATACAGCACAGTTGATGATTTGAATACCAGTCTATGGTGGCCAGAGGATGAGAGTGACATGTCGAATTTGCACAGTGGCACTTCGCCATTTTGTACGTCCTTCTAACGGAGGAGTTTCATTATTTGTAACCACTTTCATCTTTCTGTAATCCTAAACGATGGTTTTTATTTACTTAGATCATCCATCGATGCAGCAACAAGAAGAAATGCTGTTACAGCTTGCTATCCAAGAAAGCCTTCAAGGTGATTTTGTGCAAGAAACAATGCGAACTGGGCAAGGTAGTGTTCTATAGTTAGGAAAATCTAAAAAAACATTTGTATCTTTGGCTAATTTGCTATAGAATTGACGGCAAAAAGTTGTGATGATATGGTTAGTGACATAACTACGTGATTGATGTTACGAGTATTAGGACAGCCTTAATGCGGATGGATCTGGGACGGTGATTTTCAGATGGACTTAATCCTACCAATGTATTGATGCCTTGTGATGAAGAAATACAGGAGCAGAGACAGCTTGCACGAGCAATCCATGAAAGCCTTAGAGTTTCTACCTCTCCTGCCCTCGATGCTGAAGATGATTTTGAGGAGGTAGTGCGTTATATTTCAAGAAGAAGTAATTTTCTATAATCACAGAGATGCCTTGCTTATTGTGTAGAACGACTAATGGGGAATTTTTGTCATTGCGTTGTTGGTTTCCTGCTTTTTCTTTTACTTTGTTGTACTACAGGCTGAAGATGAGCTTTCTCTGGCTTTACGTCTCTCACGCGATGAAGAGCATCATCGCCAAGAACAGGCCCGTAAAGAGGAGGAAGAGTTCGAGCGGGTTTTAAAAATATCATTGTTAGATAAGTGAACATGTGCTCATAATTTTCTGCCTAACTCTTCGCGAATTTTCTCTTAAGCATAGAAAATTCCTATTTATTTTTATCTGGGCTTTTTACCATCAGTTGGTGTTGATACTCTAGCTGTGGTCTAATCTGCACTGAGGACTTTCCCTTCTTATCGTTCCTTGTACTTGAATATTTCGTTGATCTATTCCATTGTTTTCCTTTATCAACCTGCGGAGTTTTCTGTGTTTGTCCACTTTCTACATCTTAGCTCTTTTGCTTTCTTTAGGATATCTGTAAATATTCCTCCTAGTTCCACTGTATTGGTTCAACTTATTCCTTCCCACGTGGTAATTATTTGCGGTCGTATTAAATTATGATTGGTTCTGCAATATGTTGTCGAAAGAGATCGAAAGAGATGGTTTTGTCTTCATGTGGTTTCGTCTTTCTTGTTCCCTTGTGCGGATTATAAAGCTCAAATAGGTGAGAAGAAGCATATCCGACACACCTATGGAGTCTTGTAATAAATGACCATGTGATGTTAGTTTTTTAGTGAAAAGGCTTGCCGCAATAAGGAGATTCTCATTATAGTTTCGAAATCCGATTCAGAATTTCTCAATTATGTGTTTCATCTTCTTCCATCTTTTTTAGTGCATCTAGAACTAGGTACTGAGTATCACTGGACCCGTTTAGTTGCGTATATGTCGATATTCTTGTTTTTATGTCATTTAGTCGTGAATAATTTCCTGACGACAGTACTGTTATTCTTCGCAACGATTTACCGCGCCATCCTGGTTGGGAGGTGTTCCTGGTTGTCGAGCTGCGATTTGGAGCAGGGGACTAATCCCCAGCAGAACCTACCAAGCCGAGGATGCGTCTGACGTTTCTATCAGGAAGCTCAGTTAAGAGTAAACCAATACCAAGATCCACCACCGTCCTGGTACCAAACCAGTCGCATGATGGCAAATCTCCCTCTGATCCATAAAAGGGCGACTGCATGAGGTGGAGTTTGTCTGTGCTAACCTCTGGGCTCCAGAGAACCACAATGGCTAAACCAGCAAAACTGCGAAAGTGTAAATGAATTATCCTGGAACTCACACAACCAGTGAGGACGGGCCATCCAAGTCTCCAAGTAACACTGTTATTGGCGATACTTTGTCGAAACCTTAGAAAATGAAGGAATTGACTAGTTGACAAACGTTTGGAAGAGGCTTTGTCCTATCGCCCAAGAATGTACGTAGCTATTGTGAAATGTTCTTTCACTCTTGAACTTGTTAAAAGGTTAGGTCCATCAGGGAGGTAGCTAAGAAGATGGGGTCGAGGTTTTGAATTTTTAACAAAGTTGCGGCGAACCTAGATACTAGTGGGCCGTTTAAATCCTCAAATGCACCCTAGTGGGCGGAAGCCGTGTATTCAATCGCTTCGCTGCTCGACATTCGAGTCACGAAGAAACCAAAAGGACGGGCGGCTCGCGTGCTCCAGAAAATTAGGAGGCCATTGTGGTAGAATAAAGAAAAACTTGTAAATAATTGGCAAAGCTGTGTAGGGGTCTAATGCTTCTTTTCCAATCAGCACATTCCACTATGACCCGACGGGGACGTGTGGCGCAGTGGTCGGAGGTGGTCTGTAACACACACACGGGATCGATCTCCGCTCCCCTGGCCCATCAAGCCGTCCATCCCTCCGGGTTGGCAAATTGGTACCAGACTTGTCTGGGAGGATAGCAACACTGGCTCGATACATCGATAGGCCACCGCTGCTTATCATAAAGGCCAGATATGCTTCCAGTCACCTCCAAACGATGCTTAATGCAGTCGGATGCATGGCGCATGTCTCAGGGATTGATTAACGCGGAGAGCTTTATCCTTTATTCTTATCTATTCTGAGACCTGAGGTATTCGTTTCGTATTTGAGAGAGTAGCCAATTTTCAGGCACACTTTTGTTGAATTAATTAGGAATCATTGTGAATGCTTTAGAAATATGTCTTTCTAAATGCCAACTTTACAATTTTCTTAATTTCACATGTTAGGTAGATTTCTACGGCCTACTTTGCAACTGAAATTTCATGGCTTATTCATTCGCGTTTCTTGACTGTTATTCTATCGTGTCAATGCAAAACACCGTCGGACCCTCTATTCGTGGGACTACTTCTGCTTTTGGGTTCTTCGTGAAGATGTGCTGCGATGAGCACAGAAAGAAACACCCCAATGAGAATGTGATGGTTACTGAGATATCGAAACAATGCAACGATAAGTGAAAGGTACGCTGTCTAGTTGGTGTCTGATGGCGGTTGCATATATTTCTTAGAAAGTAGAAGCTCGCCTAGACAATTTCGGATGACGAGAAGAGACAGTTCTACGAACTTACTCAGAAAGGTGCCCAGAGATATCGAGCAGAGGTTAGTTCTATAACAATCGCTAGGAAAACCAGGTTGATTTATTATTGAGAGAAGTTAGTGTGGTCAGCTGCAAGCATGGTCCTAGAGCGTTAGACGGGTCTTCACTTTGAGTGCCGTGTTTTCGTTTAATTTTCATTTCATGACATTTCTAACGTAGTAGCATACGAAAGAGAAGCAGCTATTGAATAAATGGGCGACCTACTCTGATAAAAACATCTCTTCAAACAAAGCAGATGAAGTCAACGAATGAAAATATGCATTCTTAACGTAGAAGCCATCCTTCAGAGGAACACAAAAGATGACAGATTTCCAATGTATCGACTGAAATGAAAACATGAAGAGAACACTATTGCCATTATAGAGTAAGTCAAAGGTAAAGCCAAAAGAATGATCTGGAAAGAAAGAATGCATTATCAAAGTGTCACAAGATTCCTTCAGATATTGCTACGAATGAAACACTTTTGACATTTAAAATGCTGGCAAGTTAACACTTGCTCGGAAACCAGCGGTGAAGTTGCATTGAAACCTAGGCAAACGCCCTGTATTAGCACAGTTTGCAGAATCCGCGATGGGCAAAAGCTATTCGCGAGAAGAGATATGCCTACGTGCAACCGCGAAAAAAAAATATATATATATATACATATGTACATATATACATGTGTACAGATATTTCGAAACCGACTTTCTCCAAACCTCGGTGTGACTAATCAATATGTATTCTTTCTTGATAAGCTTGCACGAGGTTGATAAATATATTTATTTTCGGCTAACGTTTCGACGTCTTCGTCTTCCTCAGGGCCGATGATCCGAGTCGATGGTCCATGATTGTTGTTCGTCTCGACGTTGCATCTTCGCCTTCGTGTCGAGCCAGGTCTTCCTCAGTGATCCATCTTCTCGAATGAGACATCCTCACTCAGTGATGCCCTTTTAATATAAATATTTATAAAATAAATATATAAAATATATATATATAATATATTTATAAAAAATATATAAAATAAATATATTTATCAACCTCGTGCAAGCTTATCAAGAAAGAATACATATTGATTAGTCACACCGAGGTTTAGAGAAAGTCGGTTTCGAAATATTATTACTACGCTTTGTGCTAGCTGATAAAAACACCAACTTCTGCACGATGTGCGCAATGATGTATAGCCGGAAGAAACACAAATTGTTACCACCGGACATTATCATCCACCATCAGCATCGTGTATAAAAGGGCATCACTGAGTGAGGATGCCTCATTCGAGAAGATGGACCACTGAGGAAGACCTGGCTCGACACGAAGGCGAAGCTGCAACGTCGAGACGAACAACAATCATGGACATGTGTACAGACTCAAATATTCCTTAAACTAAATTTGATTCAACATCTGGATATCTGCCCATCTTTATGATATCTAAAGGTATTAAACGAATCTCATCTATGAGACATGCTATTCTTCTGATATCTCATCAAAATTCAGTGCTTGGAATGCTCTGAGAAGTGGAGATATTTTATTGATGAATCCACTACAAGCCTACTGTAAGCAGCTGTAAGGACGTGAATTCCTGGTTGTATAAATAGAGCTAGAAAGGATAAAGTTCTCGGCGTTGATCAATCTCTCAGTAATGCACCATGCATTCGACTTCATTGAGTATCGTCGGAGGTTACTGAATGCATATCTGGCCTTTACAATGACTTGCGGTGGCCTACCGA